CTACTTAAGAGTGTTTTCATGTTGGCATGTCATTATAATAGTATTAAGTCTGTTTCCTGAGAAAAGAAAAAACATCTCAGGAAAAATTTCATATAAATTTGGTGCCAAAATGTTTCATATGAATTATCTGTGCGTCAACATTGCTCCATAATATTATTTGCACGTCACAGCCTATTATTTAGAACATGGCGCAAAGTAACCCGCTTATATGAGATACTTTGCTCCATTTTTATTAAAAAAATATATATATATGTATCGTTGTCTAGCACTTTTTCAAATGCAAAAATTTGTTTTTGCGATATTAATGTTTGCATTTAACTCAATTTTATAATTCCCGCAACCATATCTGTAGTAGAAACCATCCGTTTTTAAAAACAAGTTTTAAAATTGGAGCAAAATAGCCCGCTTTACGGTATACACAAATCATAAAAAAAAATCCTCTTTTGTAACTGTACTGATGATCACAGAACAACCGGTAATATTGGTAAAAGCATTTTATGTAGGAATGTTAGTGGATTATATCCCAAACATCGCCCTGCGAAAGTAACCGTACAGTGTCTTGTTGCTAAGGTAACTGATGAATAAGTGCCAAGTTACGTACAATATTATGTACATTTATCCCGACTTCCTGCAAGTTCTTGTCTCAATACTGGTTATACTGTTTACACAGGTATATAAATAAACACACCACATATATTTTTATGTGGTGTGTTTATTTGTATACCTGTAATAGGATTTTTTTTATATCTGTCTACCCTGAAAAGTGACAAATATTTCCACTGCCTAATGATTATATATGAGCAAAAACTTTTAGAACAGAATAAAATAGAATTTATTTTAGTTATTTAGATAATAAATCTAATTTACAAATGTTAATTATTGTATAATTAATTTATACCATTATGCTCTAATATATTAATTTCATTAAGTTTTAAATAAATTTATATTTTGCATTACCTTTGAACACTTTGGGAAACAATTAAATTTCACAAATCTATAAAAATATTAACAATTTCTTGTTGCTGAGTTATTGCTAAATTTAATTAGAAACTAATTACTTATTTTTATGTTATAATTATGACCAGAGCATTACATATAATTTTTTGTGTATGATAATCAGGTACTTGCTTATTAAATAATTTACATGTAAAAATCATTGAGATAAGTATATGATATACAGTCTTTCATTAACCGTAAACCAGTGAAGACAATCAAGCATATCACTTATGCGCGTGTATCTAGTACATTATATTACTCCCATCTCAAAATTTTGTAACTTCTGAAGAATTTTTGTATTTATATTAGAGCAGTACATGACTGATCTACAATATACAGGGTGGGGCAATAGTACGTCCGACTTCGATATCTCGAGTTCTATGATAGCTAGGAACTTGATTTAAAAACATAAATAAACTAGACGAAAAAGTCTATAACCGGAAATTGTTTTCGAATATATAGAGTGAGCCAAGATAATTCTACAGGGTCATGTAACATTTTTTTAAATGAAATGCCGTGTATATCAGAACATTTTTTAAAACCTCTTTGTGGCATCCTTTCACTTCTGTATTATTATTGACTTTCTCCCAACCACTTGGATGTAATGATTTTTTGTTGTTGAAATTATACCATTTTAACGTGTATATTAAAAAACCGCTGCCAATTACTTGGTGATCAGAACTTCCTCACCGTAATAAAAGTAGACGTGTGATGGAGATTATAATAAAAGTAATTTTTGACGTTTCAAATAAGTCGCATTTTTTGCCGTTTCAAAAAAATCACATTTTGACGTTTCAAAAAAGTCACATTGACATTTCAAAAAGTCATATTTTTTAATGTTTCAAAAAAGTCACATTGGTGGAATGCCACTAATATTTTTTTTAGACATTGGGACCGATTTTGCTCATTAACGAACTCAATCTCTTCCTTGACCTCTAGAATGTGTGTACCAAATTTGAAAGCTTTATCTCAAAAACTGTAGCTGCTATCGCGAACCAGACAGACATACAGACACAGACACAGACAGAAATATTTTCTGTCCGAAATTTTGTGTATCGCTATAATTCGTCGAGATTCGTCCAGATATGCAATAAAAATTTTCAAAATTTAGAATACATAACTTCCTCACTTTAAGGGGTAAGGAAGAAAAATATCACTACAATCACAACTGTCGATTTTAAGAAAAAAATATGTTAGACTAGTTATCAGACATCTGTGTGATGACATTCAGTCATTTTCACTTTCTAAAAGTATACAGGATGGTCAAAAAGGATTTTTAAATTTACAACTTTTTGAACTGAATTTTCTCAATTTTTTTCAAATGGAACATCCTGTATATTTTTTGACCATGTGATGTAGGATTGAAAAACGAAAATTTTTTATACGTATATTTGTGACCATTTTCAATTTATTGAACAATAACTACAAAATGCAGCAATAAAAATTAAAATTGAGGGTTTTTTCAAATAGTTCAAGAGAAGGTATTATATTAAGCGTTTTACATGATGCCCATAAAAACATCATACCAACAACGATCCAAAACTTGAAAGAAAGGATAATAAATGCTTTTAGGAGTATCACTCCGGCAATTTTATGAACAGTAGAAACCTCATTCCAAAGACGCACAGAAATGTGTGTCAATTAAAATGGGCAACATGTGGAGCACTTTTTATAACATCTTCTCTTGAATTACAAAAAAAAAATGATAAAGCAAAAAGAAAAATTCTCATAAAATTCCTTTTATTAATGTAACCGGTTTCGTGAACAAGTAATTACTTCACACCATCAGACACAGGAATTTTTATAAATAAAAAACCAGGGTAAAGAAGTAATTACTTGTTCACGAAACCGGTCACATTAATAAAAGGAATTTTATGAGAATTTTTCTTTTTGCTTTATCATGAATGCCTCCCTCATATGGGATCAACCTACCTACGTTACAAAAAAAATGTTTTTAATTTTTATTGCTGATTTTGCAGTTATTGTTCAATAAATCGAAAATGGTTAAAAATAGACATAGGCATGTACATACAAAAATGTTCGTTTTCCTATTCTACAACATATTATAAAAAATATACAGGGTGTTCCATTTGAAAAAATTGAGAAAATTCAGTTCAAATAGTTATAAATTTAAAAATTATTTTTGGCCACCCTGTATACTTTTAGGAAGTGAAAATGGCTGAGTGTCATCACACAGATGTCTCAAACTGGTATTAACATATTTTTTCTTAAAATCGATAATTGTGACTGTGGTGATTTTTTTAATATACACGTATAAATGGCATAATTTCAACAACAAAAAAAATTATTACATCCAAGTGGTTGGGAGAGAGTCAATAATAATACAGGACTGGAAGGAGGCCACAAACAGGTTTCAAAAATTGTTTCGATATACATAGCATTCCATTTAAAAAATGGTAGTGGACTCTGTAGTATCGTCTTGACTCACCTTGCATATTTGAAAATAATGTCTGGTTATAGACTTTTTATTTGTGCTTTTACATCAAGTATCTAGCTATCATAGAACTCGACATATCGAAGTCGGACGCACTATTGTCCCACCCTGTATAAAGCGATGTAATATGATAGAATAAACAGTTATTGTTGTAGAATAAGACAAGTGAGTAGATATCCTACGAAAAAAATTTGTTTAGCAATATCTTTTGTTATACTCATATATCCTGACTGTTAAGTTTTAGCTGTCTGTCTATAATTAAACCTAGGTATTTTATGCTATCCACATATCTATTTAATGGAACTATATACTTTGTTTACATAAAATAATTATGCAAATTATTATTACCGTGGACCATAAACTTTAATTTATCATGATTTAGTGACACTTATTTACCTTTAACCATTGGGTTAATTGGTTTAGTTCTACATTTAATATTCGTACTAATTCATATAATGTTAATGTTTTCAAAATCAGATCGACAAAGAGGTCGGATATAAAATTCTTTGAATATATTTTAATGTCATTTATTTATAATCAGAACAATAAACGGCCAAGATTGCTTCCTTGTGGGACCACAATACTGTTTTTTTGGTTCGAAAGTCGATCCAATTACTTTGATAATCTGACTTTTCTATCACAAATAGGTCTCTGTCAACATCATTACATAGCTGTTACATCACCATTTAAAGTTTCTTTAACAAAATTTCTCTACCAATTGTTTGAAATTCACGGCTTAAGTCTAGAAGTACTGCGCATATTATATTATTTTCGTTATCCAACATTTCCAGTTATTAATATGTAACTGAATAACTGTTTCACATCAATGATTCTCTGATTAATGTGTAAAATATTACGTTGCCCATTATATTCCATTAATTGTGGTCTTGGAATACGTTCCATAATTTTTTCACAAAAAGGTGACATTAATTATCCGTAATTGTTCAACTTTTATAATATTTCTTACCTACTTTAGGATCGGGAACCACAGATGAAATGCTAAGTAAATCAAGAAAAGTACATTTTCTCAGAGAAGTTTGATTAAATTCAATAAAGGGTAGCCAAGAACCATAAAACTTTTTTCAATAAATTGAGATAATGTTGTCTATACTTCACAATTTAATTGGACTGGAAATAACTTTTGTTAGTTGAGATAATGACATTTCTTTAATTTCTAACAGTTCGCACTGTTCGTTATCTATAAACGAAAAAACAGAATTATTATCACTAGCCACCGAACAATTTCCGTACGTCCAGGGCCGGCACAAGTGTTAAGAAAGACAATAACAATCATTAGTACGGATCAAATAAAATACATACCTCGAGTATCTTAATATTTCATAAAATCTCCTGTACTAATAAAATGTTTTCTTAAAATGTTTTATTAACTGCCTCTCAAGTCACCGAAGTAACTCCCAAAAAATCCTAGAATTTTGTGTTGAGTAAAGAGAGACGAGTCCCTACAGTTTATTGTAGAATTCGAACCACATTTAGAATATCGACATTTCTCTTCCATCTTAATCTGAAACAAATTACAAATAAAATTATCTGCTCCGGGATGGATTCGAACCATCGATATTTGGTACCGAGTAAATAAAGCGCTTTACCCACTCGGCTACCATACCCCTGAACTGTGTTCAAGGTATTAGTATATATTGCAAGGCAATAGCCATGTATCGTATTGGAATACGTGGATCGTAGAAACCTGGCAGCTTTACACATACACTGTGTGCCAGAATAGATTTAATAAGAGATGTAGTGGACAACAATTGTCGAATTTTTAAATTGCATTTGAGAATTCAGTTCTGCTTGATGTAAGACTAAGATATATCAAATATGCTAGGTGTTTTATAAGTTAATTTATAAAAATCGTCTCAAATCTGCAAACAAAATTTTACTATCGGGCATAGTTCTTGAGTAATTAGCATTTTTTTGTGGTCGCATAAAATGCTATTTTATTACATTATTCAATTTGTTACATGAATTTTATATTGCCCTAAAATATATTTTTTATAGATTTTCTGCTCTACTTCAATTGAGAAACATTCCTCCTGAGAGTCCAGCAGTAGTCCGTTAACATTTTCGAGCTCCAATCTTTGATAGTGCTTTTCTGTGGTAAATATATTCTGAACTGATTCTGCGGTTGGCTCCTTGTGAAACATTATTAAATATTTTAAATATATGAAGGAAATTTGCTTTTTAATGTTTCAAAAATATATATATATTTTTGAAACATTAAAAAGCAAATTTCCTTCATATATTTAAAATATATTCTGATGACGTTCGTCGCATAGAACCCCGAGGTTCTCAGGGAAAGAGTTCAAATGCGAATCTAACAAATGTATTTAAGGGACATATTACATACAAACTATCTATATTCTGTAAGAGCTCACCAACAAGTTATTTGCCCTATGGTTTCTAAGGAAGTTCTTTATCATTTTTTGAAACGATAATCTTGTAGCCGCCTCAGCTTCATTTAAATTCTCTTCAAATGCCGTCATTTATTAGTTCCATTAATTGTGAACCGACAAAGAAGCTGTTCTTGATCTTTGCATTACTTTTTCTAGGAGACTTGTCCTTTAAAAAAGAGAAAACCTTGGCCATTACGATACATCTCTTTGACAAAATATTTCATCAAAACTAGCTTGATGCGTAAAGGTGGAAGATAATCTTTCGCTCTTGGTATAAGTGGCTCACTTTTAACGTTCTTCTTTTCCTGAATGAGTGCATCTCTATTTGGCTACTGCTTCTTGATATAGTGGCATTTCTTGCCTCTACTATACCATTCACACATGAAGCAACAACAAGTTGTGTATCCAATTGTAGTTCAACTAAAATATTTATTATTTTGATATCCCCACAAATATGGCAAGAATATTTCTCATACTGTATACAAATCACTAATAGTTTAATATTTTAGTACGATTCTTTCATGTGAGCAGTATAAGCAACGGGTTTTTTGATAGATACTTATTTCCATTGTAACTGCCTTCAAACTCAGCTCTGAGGAATCTATCACCATTCTTCAGGATTATGTTGCTATCCTAAAGCCTTCAGTAAAGAATCCACATAATTGTAACAGACTAGATCATCGTACTTAGAGCAGAAGTGTTTAAATTCATGCTGCCTTTTAAAAACAACAAAAATCGTGCATTTAACAAAATCTATACCAGTGTAATCAATCTTTCTTCTTACAGTTCTAGTTCATGCAATATTTATCTTCTACGTTACCATTAAATTGACATGCATATTAAATGATCAGTAAGCCTGGCCAAGGTCATTATTCCTACAGAGACGTACTGGGTATGCATCATATTATAATACTTGAATAAGTACAATAATAAAAACAAAAATATTTTATATATTGTGATGTACGTTTTTGTACTGTTTCGTTCGCTTTAAATTATTTTTTATGTATTTCCTTATATTTTTTTAAGCTTAGTGCTGCACATTATTATTAAACTGTTAAATGACGTTCACACATGTACATCGTATATCTAAGTGATAACTAATAATAAATAAATAAATAAATAAAATAAATGGAAATAAATTTTATTAATACTGGTACACTTTATAAAAATATATACAAAAGTCACCTTCTTAAGCAGATTTATGAAGTAGCTTGGTTGTCGTTATCACAAACTGGAGCACTTCTATAATAACTGTAGCATCAGATATGTTTCTACAGTTGTCTCAGTAAGCGATGTTCGCTGTGGTGAAAAAATATGTTTGTATTTTGAATAAGACCATTCGACATCTACGGAAGTAATACAGGTATAAGTAAAACACACTGTGAACTCACTTAACGCAGCTGTAGATGCACCATCACAAATTTGTCTTAATTTGGTAAAATCAGGATCTTTCCGTAATACACTCTCGAATTTTTCAATAACAGGCTTATTTTTTGCGTCACTTATAGTCTGTAGTTGTGTAATTACGTCGTCCACTATTTGCTGCGATTCCACTCGACCACGAAGTATTTTGCAATTTTTCTATTGCGTCGTGTAGTCTCTATAATTGCTATAAATAGTTTTTAAATCTGTTTCAAGGGAAACATCTTGCAAGCTTGTCTGGCTTTCCTTAATAGCTGCAGCCTGTGGTATCACAGCTTTTATTTGTTGAAAATATTCAGCATAATAAAAAGCTGCCTTCAACCACATTCCCCAACGTGTAAGAATCAGCTCTGGTGGTTCCGGAATACCAGGACACAGTGTGTGAAATGCTCGAAGCCGTTTAGAAGATTTGAGAAATACTTTTTTCGTATTTGCTATTAATGAAACTACCTCTGAAAAATATTTTCGAATCGTTTCTGCTACAAGATGGAACGCATGCACTTTACACATAACATGTAAAAACCTACAATCGTCTCTTTGAAGAAAACGGCGCACCAAACGCATTGTCGTAGCATCGTCGGTCACAAACATCAACACTTAACTTGTTGACAGTTCAAATTTTTCCAAAGTCTCCAACACCACCCGTGTAATTGTTTCGCCAGTACACGCAGTTAGTCTTTTCATAGCTAGTAAAAGTGGAAATGTTGGTTTAACAGGGTCGAGTACACGTATTATAGCATTTAAAATGGAATTTTTCTTACAAGCTGTCGTCTCGTCAACACATAACCACAGCCGTGTATTTTTTAATGCACATTTAATCATTTACAATGTCTTCACGAACACTTGGTACATATCTACGTAACGATGAACGACTTGGTAAATTCACCTGGGGATTGTATTTATTCCATAACTCCCGAAATGCTGGTTTATCCAATATGCGCAGGGGAACATCACTGGCAATCAGTAAATCAAACATAAACTGAGATTCCAAAGAAGACACGCCATTTTTTTATTTTTATGCCGGTTACTATTAACATGAATTTTGCAGCCGTATTTATTCCAGCACATTAAGTCTTGATCACAAACTGTACAAATTAATTTACATCCATAATAGAATAAATCCAGAAATTCACCGATAAATTTATTCCCTTTATCAGCTTACGGTCGTTTTCTACTCTTTACGCTCAACATTATTTATTAGTTATTAGTACTCTATGCATCGACCGACAGATAACAACTGAAGTGTGTCGTGTCATCGTCATCGTAAACAAGCGCGCGATGGCATTGGTATTGCGACCATCGTTTGGCCCGGCTTAATAATCAGCTATATGATAATTACCTCAGCACTAATATTGCTAAATATATGGTTAAAGCTAGTTCAATTAATCTTTTGCTTAAATTAGTAACCTTAGTGTAAGTATAATCTGTGTAAATCTTAACATATCTACAGAATGTTTAAATGTTCTGGAGTACAAATTATCATATAATCAATTAATAAAAAAATTTCCTAAAACTAAAACATCTTTAAAATCATCATTTCTTATTAATCACTGGCTAATCTATTCGATAAATTCGTTGTGGATTTAATTTGAGTACATTTATATTTCACTTTTAGTTTTACAACAAGAAACCAACAATTTAAATTGTGTATTTCTGATTCCACAAGAATTACATATTTCACATCGTTTCTGATAAATATTACTAATATCCCCGCCCGGTATGTTTGATGTAGTTACATGAGTTACATTTTCACACCTAGTATGATTTGCATAATTTATTCCATTTCTATTTGCATCTCGTGACCAACGTACATTAGATAAAATTTTGTTTACATACATTGACAGATAAGCCTCAATTCTATCTGCCTTGGGCTTTCCTATTAGTTTTCAGACAAAAGGTTCATGTGCATTACACCTTCCATTCATTCTATAAATTGGACCATTTATTACTGCTCGCCAATATCTATCATGGCTATGATTGCGGTTTGTAGCTAAATTTCTCATTGAAACCTATATTCATTATCATACAGATTTATAGATTGATGTCAATATCAGTTGTAATCATTCACGTATTTGCTTTTCGTTAATTCTTTTCATTAGTATCTACATACAAATACATATCTATAACAAACAATTATTAAGAGCATAGACACCGAATATTACATTCAGAGGAATTACAAACTTCAGTAAAGGCAGGGTATGTGACAGATTTTTGAAACTAATTTTCGAAACCGTTGCAAAATCAAAATATTCACCAAGATCACTAAATTTTTATTACCACTTGAATATTCTTTAGGTCAAATATTTTTTTCATAATGAATGAATGAATAGTATTTATTTATCGTATTTATTTATCTAATCTAATCATTAAATGATCCTGTAGATATAATATAGGCACTAAGTTAATTAAATTACAATAATATACAAATAGTATTACACATATTCTGACAGCGCAAATTTTCAAAAGGCATACTTTACACTATACCTATATACTATACCTATGCTTACCTTTACATTTTTTTTTCACGTACTTAATAAGTTTTGATTTGAATAAGTCAATATTATTAATAAATAGTCTTCAGGTCATTCGGTAAAGAGTTATACTCAATGATACTTTTATGAAACAAACTATTGTAAATGAGAGTTTTAGTTGTTCTATTTACGTAACAGTTGTCTTTGTTTCTAGTATTGTAGTTATGGACTTCATTTACACTCACTACCCTTGAGGACAAATATTCAGGTACCATCTTATTCAAAGTTTTATAAACAAATAACATTGTTTGAATATACATATACTTTT